GAAAAGAAAAAATAAATCAGAAGAACTTGAGTTGGCCTCAAGCGTTCATATATCACAATGAAAATCAGCAACTCAACCCCGTGCAATATTGCTCTCTATTGAGTCATTCGATCCACACCAACAATACATGAGACTTCAAACAGGTTTTGTTTTGTTTATTAACACAGCAAGTGTGACATTAGATAACCTTTTAAATACAGTACATGGTACAGTGCAGGGCCAGCTGCCCGCACGTTTCCCCGTTATGAAGACAAAGCCAGCGGTGGCGGTTTATAAAAATATTGTGTTGCTACAAAAGTATAAATTAATGCTACCGGTATTAAGAAATATTAAACACATAAAACTTATAAGGATTAAGAAAAATATTCATTAATACCTGTAGAAAACTCTGGCCTAAAAAAGATATTTTTTTTTTTTGTATATTTTTTGTATTTTTTTTTTTTGTATTTTTTTTTTTTTTAAGATGACATGAGATTCTTGCACTCGCAGGTAGAGACACACGCAGGTGCATCTGTGGTATTGCCTAGAACATCTGCATCTACAGAAAGGAAATGCACACGAGTTACCGAGGGGGGGGTGAGGAGGGGAAGGAGAACACCGATCCTTTTCCTGGTGACACACGACCTCAGCTCCCAGCAGTTTGCAGAACCCAACGCAGGCAGGAGGGCAGCTGCTCTGCCCAACAGGCTGCACCACGGCCTTCCCCACCGGCACGCTGTCGGCTGACACTCCAGCCATGGCACAGAGCAGAACCTAAGGCTCACAGCCTGCTTCATCCGTATCAGTTTTCCTTTTAAATAATTTAATTAAAAAATAAAAAACAAAGAAAAAAAAAGGTCCCTGTAAGAGCAAAGGGACCACGGAAAGCAGCTCTCCTGCTGGGACACGCGGAAAGAAAGAACATCCCTCCTCCCAGCCCTGCCTGGAGGAACCCCCCCCCCCCCCCACCCACCGGAGTGCCACGAGAGCCCCAGAAGATGGACCAGGAGCATTCGGGGCTGGGGAGAACAGAAGGGTCTTATTAAGGAACTTTGGTTGTAAAATGCAAGGGTTGGGCATGCCTGCACTCATCTGCACTGCCAAATGCTCAGTCCTTAAGGCTGTGGTGCTCGCAGCGTTGGGACACACTTACACTGTTGGTGACATTGAGATGACAGGAGGGAAGGGAGTCTTTCAACCAGCAGTCGGAGCTGGGCAGGATGTTGGTGTGCCTCACTTCCCAGGCTATCCTCAAACACTCCAGCTTGGCTGCCTACAGATCGTTAAACCCTATGGGGGCTTCTGGACACACTGCTGTCTAACGTGAGCAAAACTCTTCTGCCAAGTCATAAACAAAAGGCTCTACCAGGAGCTGCAAAACAACCCAACCAACAGCCAAACAGACATCCCAGACAAAATTAAATTCCAGGGCAATACACTCTCATTGGTTTACCATTTCTGGCCTAGCGGATGCAAACTGTCCTGCAGCACCAGAGAGGGCTGCAGCCTGGGGCTGTGCTTGGCTTCACCTCCCCATGCTGTGGCTTTGCCCAGTGGCACCTCCCAAGGCCCAGGAAGGGGACAACTGCACACAGGGTCACAGGCACCACGCACTGGACCAAACTGCTGGGGGACACTTCTCCACAGGGATCAGACAGCACCCCACGGCCCAGCCCAGGTGTTCTGTGCATTCCCAATGGATCCCATGGACTCAAGATCACAGAAAACGCACAGCAGAACACCACCTAATGCTCGCCCAGCCCCAATTCTATCCATGTGGAGCATTCTGCTTCCAAACCCTCCTATCTGGGTTCTGGTTGGGTCCAAAATCATAGAACTACAGAAACTTCTAAGTTGGAAGGGAGCTTCAAAGGCTCCCACACCCTGCAGTGCACAGGGACACCCACAGCTCCAGCAGTGCTCACAGCCCCAGCAGCCTGAGCTTGGCTGTCTGCAGGGATGGGGCATCACCACCTCTGTGCAACCTGTGCAGTGCCTCACTGCCCTTACTGTCAAGAATTTCTTCCTTATACCCAATCTACATCTCCCATCTTTTAGTTTGAAAACATTTCCCCTTGTCCCTATCACAGCAGCCCCTGCTGAAGAGTCTGTCCCCTCCCTTCTCACAGCCCTGTAGATACTGATAGGCTGCCCTCAGCTCTCCCCACAGCCTTCTCTTCTCCAGGCTGCACAGCCCCAGCTCTCAGTTTGTCCTCACAGGGAGGTGTTCCATCCCTGCGATCGTTTTTGTGGCCCTCCAACAGGTCTGTGTCTCTCCTGCGCTGAGCACTCCCCATCAGGATGCAGTGCTGCAGGTGAGGTCTCACAGCACTGAGCAGAGGGGCAGATCCCCTCCCTGCCCTGCTGGCACGTTACTTTGGATGCAGCCCAGGGTCTGGTTGGCTCTCTGGGCTGTGAGGGCACAGCATTGGCCCATGTCCAGCTGCCATCCATCACTACTCGCAGGTCCTTTCCAGCAGGGCCGTGATCCATAAAAACCCATCCCTGTGCCAGTTTCCTCCCAGACAGCAGATTTCTCCTCCATTAAACAAACAAACAAACAATTCCCAGAAACTGCTTTTAGTGTCTTTGTTGGTTTTTCACTCTCACCTCACTACTCCTAATGACTCTGCAAGGAACGACCCACTTTGACAGCTCACAGTGTCTCTCCCCTTCCATAAGCAGAAATGCTGAGCCCTCCTCGGCACAAGGCAGTGCTCCCAGCTGCTGGGGAGCTTTGTGGCTGCTCTTCGACCACCTCCCGGCTCCTCGGTGATGCAGTGCAGCATCTGCAGATGCAGTGCTACGAAATCCTAGTAGGGAGAGTCTTGGATTCTGCTTCCATGAGGCACCCTGTGTGGGGCTGAGTGGATCCACCCACAACAGCACATGCAGGAATTTCTTTTCACACTATGCCTCTTGTGTTTCTGCAAGCTTTTGGAGGAATACCAACTGACCAGAGATGTCTCGCTGCAACTTGTAACAACACAGGAACCTCAACGCCGAGGTCAGCAGCCTCCAGAAGCGTTTCCCCTCTGATTTCAGTGACTCACAACTCTTATGAGTGCGTCTGCCCCAACTTCACTGCAGGGCCGTGGCTCCCTGAGCTGCCTCTGTGTGCATTCTGTCTGCAGGGCAGAGCAGCACCACGCACAGCCAAACCATGCCACTGGGTCACAGCGATGCTTACACCGACGTATCTCAGTGAGACTGCTTCAGCCAGCAACCAACAGACCTCCATGCTGGGCAAAACCTGAGCCTGAGGTTGGCTGCCACAAAATCTCTTGCAGACTGCACCAGTTCAAATCCAACCAAATCAGTTTTCTCACAATAGACAAAACTTTGGTAAAACTTTTCCTTCCATCTGAAGCAATACAGCACAGCAGCCCATCCTGCAAGCCAGAACAACTGCTGCCTACTGCCTGAGACATGAGGAGAGAGAGACATGGAGACCAGTGTCACCTGACTGCCATCCTCACACAACACCCTTCTGAGCTCCTCAGTTCTGCAGAGAGCTTTGGACAGCACCAGGACCCCTTCACTCCTCCCGTTCCTCTCCTATCTGTGCCTGCTTCCCCTGCAGATCACAGCCGCTCCCACAGCAAACCCTAAGTTGGAAAGCAAAGTCTGCAGGCACAGAGCAAGCAGCACAAACAAGCAAATGCTTGGAGGATGCACGCTCCATTTCTTTTCTCCAAACACCCTTCTCAAGTGCAAGTGAACAGAACCAAACTAGCAGAAGACAAACTCCCAGCATGATCTACCATAGGTTGATGCACCAACTCTGAGGACATTTCCCAGCTCAAAGGAAGCAGAACTTCATGGCACTGACATAACGTTCTCTGGCCAAGCCCAGGAGAGCCTCTCTCCTCCCCCTGCAGGACAGGCAGCACTCCGTACAGAACAAGCGTTGCTCCAAGCAGAACTCCCAATGAGCTGACCCCAACAACCTGGTAAATGAAGAGTTTCCAAAAGTCAGACCTTGGTAAAGTTATCTACACTCCCTAGAATACAAATCTGAGTCCTAAAGGAGAGGAGAAGCAAGAGAAGCACTGGGCATTTAGGGTACATAAGTGTGCCCCAGATGTGCTTCTCTGCTTTCTATGAGGTACATCAGACACAAGCAGTGAGCAGGCACAGCACCAACTGCCCTGCTGAGCAGAGCACCCGGTGACATCCCGTAAGCCTCACGAAGAGCTGTGGCTGACACTCTGGAAAAGGGTTCTGGCCAGCTTGTCTTCTTACCAAGACCGTCCAGACCGCTCAGTTTCACAGCCTTCGGTTTTGCTTTGCTCTTTCAGCCACTAGTTGAGTTTTTAAGTCTTTGGGAGAACCTCATCTGCCAGACATCGCTCCATGCTTGCCCAGATCCATCTTCCCAGTAGTGCAATGATAACCAAAGGTGGCCTGCAGAAGGCAGTGGGATGGAGGGCCAGGCGGTCCCGGCATTTGGTCACTGCAGCAAGAAAGCTTCAGATCTCTGCCTCAGACAGAGTATGAGAACCAGAATTGTAGTAGCTGGAAGGGACCTCTGGAGATCATTGCGTCCAACCCTCAAGAAAAGAAGAGGAAGGGGAACTCTGGATGCCCTCACCCTCAGGAAATGCTTGGAACTCCATCTCAAAGGAACACGGAGATGTCGCGCATTGCCCTGGGTGTCACAGAGCCTGTGAGTGGCTCTCGGAGCCAAAGGCAAACCAAGTGCAAAGGTGAAACATGCCATCCAAAGAGCCGCAAATCCTGCCTCAGCTCTGCCCTCCGCTGAGCTCTGTAGGCTCAGCAGCCCACCCCACTTTTGACATGTCCTTCAGCCCTGTTTTCCTCCTGCAGGATCCCTCGTGCTTTTCAGTAGGCCCTGCAGCACAAATGCTTGATAATCAGCACACCTCCCACTTCTACCTGCTGATTTTTTGTTTGTTTCAGTCTGAGGCTTGGGTTTTGCTTGCTACAGGTTTCTTTTGTGATGTGCTGCTGGGCGAGCAGGAGCTGTATGAGAGAATATAAGTACAACCAGCAAAGAGCAAAGCTGGCCTGCAACCTGCACTGCCACCTGCAAAAACCACTGCCAGAGATTGGGCCTCCCAGTAGCTTTGCCTCAGCTGCTCACCTTCACGCACTGCTCACCCTGCAGACACCGATGGGGTTGTGGACTCTACCTTTGAAGTTACCCATATGCATAACTCAATTTAGGTGACAACTGGTTTTGCCCTGAGGCCATTTACAACGCTGAGAGGTGCTGCCAGCCTGAGGTCTGTGCTCAGGCTACAATAAGTATTGCATGATGCCAGCCAAAAGGAGCAAGTCGTTCTGGGGCAAGACACTTCGGTATAAACACCATCCTTGATCTAGGGAAGGTCTCAAGACATGCACTTCAGAGGGCCCCAGCAGCTCGGATGGGCCCTACCACCACACTCAGCCACCAGAGACAGCCCTGCACTGTCCGAGGGCCCCAGCCTCCCACTGAGAGCCCCAGCTGTGCTCCCACACCTCCAACAGCAGCTTTGGAGCACACTGCTGGAAGCTGGAGGGCCTGTTTCAAAAATCAAAATTGGTTTCCATTGGCCTCTGGGGATGCAAGTCCCAGTGATGGGAAATTTACAATTTGGCACCAGAAATCAGGAATTGTCCAAGAGGCACCAAACGTGACAGCCTGCAGAGATCCCATCCAGCAGCACGCAGTGCTGCGCCCACGGCACCGGACACAGCAGAGCACTGGCCTCAGTGAATGCAGAGATGGAGATGTTTTTGTGTTACCATGATCTCTAATTGCATACGGGGTGAGCCAGTGAGTGTGAACGTTTAAGGGCCCGCAGCCTTCCTAGCCAGAACGATTAAACAACATAACAAGTAGTGTAATGCACTGTAGGTATTAAAAAAGACATTCGTGCTACTAGAGGAAACCATTCCAAATAAAAGGGAAAGAGATTCTTTGCACTCAATCAGGAGCACTTACATTCAGAAGGATCTTTGAGCCCATGCGCTTCTCTAAGCTTCCTTCAAACCCTACTTTGACAAAACTGATGATCTTTGTTCCCCTGAAAAATCATACACCTTGGTTTGTCCTTGGCCTTGTGAAGGCTATTTCGAGTGTGAGGACTGGGAAGGTTTGCAAAAATTTTAGGTACGAGGGTTCTCAATGGCAGATGGCAGACCCCAGCTTGCTGCTGGCCCACAGACACTGCGTGGGCACCGCTGTCCTGGTCTCCAGCTCTTCCATATAAGCAACTGCTGTGGCTCCCATCAGGGCGTTATTCAATCACAAATAGGCTACTCTACCAACAAGCTTGAGAACCCCTGATGCACAGAATTCACCGAGAAGCTAATTTACACTGGGAATTCAGAAAAGATGGTGTGCTGTGAAAAAAAGTAAACCCAAGAAACGTAAAGATTACAGACATTTTCTGCCTTGAATCATTTCTCTTAGTTTTAAATCAAACTCACAAGCGCTAGCTAACATGTTAAAACTGGGAGACAGAAGAGTAACTTTTGGTTTTGTTGTGGTTTTTTTTTTTTTGGAAAAACCCTATATGAAGAAGTGAAATAATAACAATAATAAAAAATTAAAGTCTCCCTTCCTGATTTCTAAAGATATTGGTGTTCATAAAACACAGCTGCCCTGATAACGTGCACCGTATGTCAAGAAGGCTGTAGACAAATGCCCTCAAGGTGTACAGTTATTCAAAGGAGCAAAGTCCAGTGCAGAACTGCTCTGTTCAATGTAGTCTGATTATCCATGGCAAGATGGCCCAGGGGACAAGAGGAAAGGTGGGGTGGAGGAGAAACAAAAGAAACTTCAAGTCACTTTAGATCTCAGCTGCCTGAAGACTTTAGAACATCAGCCTCCCATTGGTCTGCCCACTTGAAAACATTAGAAAGTCTGTCAAGTCCACACACTATCTATGGAAAGGAGCACGTTCCTGGCAGAGGGCTGTCTCTCTCACGTGCTCAGCTTTCCTCTCAAACTTAACTTTATATATATTTATATTTTTATATATATATAAAAAAGCACTTGGTTTCCAGGGGCATTCATAATGAGGTCCACAGTGTTTAGAACTTAAATTCTTTTTCTTTGTTTGGAACAGTGTTTTAAAGTTTTGTTTTAATTAAAAGACAGTCTTAAAGCATGTTGGACTTCAAAAACATGAGTTTGTTCATGTCTTCTGGACTGAGTAGCCGTCTCCTTTTGATCAAGAGCGCCTGCTCACACATATTTACACATTCGCTTCTGGCACCAACAGCAGGCACTGCTAAGAGCCAAAAGGCTAGCTTGGCTAGTTTTGTATGCTTTTGGGTAACACACGACCAGTACTGAAAGAGGTCAGGAGTGGCCTGGAAGAGAGGTTCTTGCAAATAATCGTAGACTTCATTTTTCCCGAACCAATCTTCTTCCTGAGCTGCTGCGGCTTCCCCTGCTGCCCGGGGCTTCTTGGTCGAAGGTTCAAATTCTGTTTCTTCTGCCCAGGACTCTTTCACCTCGTTAATCAACTCACAGACCTTGCCAATGATCTCTTCGTGCTGGTACGGCGGGACAGGCCGCAGCTTCTGCTGGGGGTCTAAGATCATGGCTACCTTGTGTGCCGAATGAACCTTGAAGTTCTCCTTCAGCGCCTCCAAGAAGAGGTGGCAGAGTTTGCTGACCACGCCAGCATCGTTAGCTTTGGAAGTGAACAGTTTCTCCAGTTTGACGTAGGTGGGCAGTACCAGCTGCAAGGTGGGCCGGCTCTCGTTGCTCAATTCAATCACAGCCTGCTTCACCGGCGCCAAAATAGCCGCCAGGTTGCTGAGCAGGTGCTTGTTCAGGTTTTGGATGAGGTTCATCTTCTTGGCCCTGCTGTAGAACTCGCAGATCTGCTCATAGCGCTCGTGCACGAGTAGGAGGGAGTCGGTGACCGAGTTCCAGCAGGGCGGGGGAGAAGTCTCCTCCAGGGAGCCAAAGGTCTCTTTTGAGAGGCCTGTGGATCCCGCCAGATCTTCACAGACATTCAGGAGCTCGATCACTTCGTGCATATTGCGAGCCTGCAGAGTTCGCTTATTCAGCACGCTCTGCACTACCGAGTTCAAGGCACAGGCCGAACAACGCAAGCACATGCCTGCCTTGGAGAACGCAGAGGAATTGACTTTGCAGTCTGTGACGTACACCGTCCTGATCTCTGACATCACAAACTCTGAGAGCACGTTCTGTACCCAGTGGTGGATAAAATCACCATTATCTCGAATATCTACGCCCTTAATTCCCAGGACGTAACTCTTGATGTGGTTGCCTTCCACCTGATAAGCTGTTAGGATGTAGCAAGAATCAGGGCCAATGCTCTGTGAGTGACAAGTGACCCCGATGCCCAGGCAGGCGTTGCTGCCCAGGGCACAGGTGACTTTCACCTTCACTTGGTTGTACATCCGAGGCAAATGCTTCAGAGCCAGTGTGTTGAAATTACCAAGGATTTCGGTGACTGAGAAGGCACCATAGCGAGCTCCGCTATCCACCAGGGTCTGCGCTAGCTTGATGAACTCCTTCCCGCTCACCACGCTCAGCGCCCCGAGGTCAGTGCACATCACCCTCAGGAGCCTCTCGGCAATGTTCTGCCGCTCCTTCTCTGGGATCGCGCTGTTCCCTACGGAGCCACTCGCAGAGGCTGCAGTGAAATACAAGGAGAGAGAGAAAGCACCAGATGAGAGCTGCTCCTCTGCAGCGGTGGGGGAGCTCAATGAACAATCCTGAGATTGACATAAGGAAACAGAACATGCACAGATGGCAGCAGAGACGTTTTCAACCCTGGACTTGTTCCCCAAAGGTGTTCTGGATCTGCAGAGAACATGCAGCAGCTTGCTTAGAGCAGCTAAGAGCTTATCTGCATGCCTTCCACAATGGCTATTCACAACCAAGTGCCTACCCAAATGCCATCCCTGTGACATTCATTTAGATATCACAATCCTGCGTGCAATTTGCTACCTGTTTCTTGCAACAGCTCTCTCATTTGGCTTGGTCCAGCTGGACAGATTGCTTTCTACCATTTTTTTGATTTACATCTTTTCTTTGAGCCACTTGTTTTAGGACTGAGGCATGCAACCTCCTTCACTAACTCATAAAGCGCTGAAATTTTTTCCTCTCATCTCCAGCAACTCCCATCTTCTGTGGCTCATTCTGGGCAACATTAGTGTCATTTCTGGCCACAGCAGAACACAGAGGCTCCATGTTTTCCCATCACCCTCCCCCCAGATGCTCAGCTCAAGTGCTCTGAGGATGCTTTCCCACAGAGCTGTCTTTTACCATTTCCCAAGCTGAAGTGCAAACCTGCAGGACAAGCTGGGGACAAAGACAGACCCTGGCAGGGAGAGGCAAGCTATGCCTATGGCACAGCAGGTGAAATGAAGCCATCTCTTAACACCAGGATGGGAAGTCTGACTTAGGATCAGACACATTTTTTTCCCAAACATTCTCAAATGCACCTCCCCTACAACTCCTTCCTGGAGTTCCCAATACTTTCTGCATGCTACTGCTCTTCTAATGGGAGCAATGCTCTGCTCTGCAGGGTGGTACATGAACTACAGAGGAAATCAAGTGTGGGCAGTGGAAAACAAGAGCCTCGTGCATGTCCAAGTCACTGCTGCACACCTGACAGCCACTCTTAAAGCCAACAGGTAAGCCCAGGATGGAAGAGCAAACACTGCTACGTACTGTTGTTAGCGTTATTTCTTTGGAGCTGTGGTTTCCACTTCTCTTCAACAACAGGTAGAGGTGATCTGGGCTGGCTAGAGGCAATATTGTTCTCGTTGTCAGCTGTGGAGTGAGAGACAGGGAGGTTTAGAAGCACAAGTACTAATGCTTAAAACACAAAGGGGAAATAATACCCATCTGCTGGGTCCCTCACTAAGGTGACACCAATCTACTACGTTGTCTGTAGCCAGTAAGCATTTTCCAGAGATGGCACAGTACTGTCAGTAACCTTGAAAACTTTGGACTTGAACTCCATCACCTCTCAGCTGTGGCTGTAGTGACAATAGTTTTTCCTATGCATCAGCACAACTTTAGAACTGTCTCTGAATCAAGCTGCACACCAGGAAGAACAGATGTTTCTTGTGCAGCCTGACCTGTACAATACACCTGCTTTCAAAATGAAAGCACAATTAGCAGATATTTACCCTTCTGTCTTATTGTCTGTCTTTCTGCAGATCTAGAGGCTTCCCCTTTTTCTACCGGAACTACTTTGTTTCTTAAGCTATGTTCAATACCTTGGTATCTAATGATCTTGCTATAGTACTCATAGATGTTTGTTTTCCCACTGTAGAGAGATGCCAAACTCTCTTAGGCTGCTAATTGCTGCCTGAGACTGGAAACAAAAAGGAATAAAGTTTGTGGAATGTGACCATTCCTCCCCATGGCTGCAGAGATGCCCTCTGGGGGTCTGTATGTTACATTCCCGTTTTCTTATATGGCTGGCTAAACATTTTGGCTGCCAGTTTGAAGGGATTTTTCCAGGAAATGCAGACAAGATCAGTAAGTCCCATATCATATCCATGTCCTTTGCTGTGCACCAAGAACTGCCCTCCCCAAGGAGTTTTCTAGTTGTTAGTATGCTTCCCTATGAAGTTGTGCTCTGAAACAGTCTCTGATGCTACATTAAAGTGCATAATGAAAAGAGGTGGAAAAGGAAGGAGGAAGGTGGAGAGATTGATGACCAAGCTGAACAGAAGGATGGAATTAAAAGAACAAAGAAGACAAAACTAATGCTTTACTTATCACAGCTGGGTGCACCTTGTCTAATTTTGCACATCTCTGTTACACATGCCTCTCTTCAAGGTGACCCCTTTGGGGCTTCTTTTACTCTCAATAGTGTGACACAGGCTTACAATGTGATTCATTCACTCAGAACAAGGTGCCTCCTGCAGGAGGAAATCCAACAGGCTCCGAACTCACCTGGAGTCAACAATTTCTCCACTGACTTTAAAGCAAAATCAAGAAGACCAGCCCAGATGGCAACACCTCTCATCTACATAAACCAGCACACACTGAACTGAAGTTTGCCCCAGTGCTCCAGACAGTAGCATGTGAATTAGAAGGATGCTTTATTACGGCACGCACAGGGATGTGGGCTTTGCTCTACCACCAGGTTCACCTGGTGCTGGCAGGGCAGCGGGTTGCCCACCAGAACAAGCAGGAGAGAGCCGTGGTGCTCTCCTTACATGTGGCAATGGCCCAGCAGAGAAGGGAGTCTGGCAAGAATCTTGAGACCAGCAATCAGATAGTGAAACTTCAGTGCCCTCTTCTTTGCAAGCAAGTCCTGTTAAATCTGAGCAGCTCTGCATGACAGTTGCTGGGGCATTCACAAGCCTTACTGATGGTCAGTTATTATGAGCCCTGAACAGACCTAACAGCAATCCAGAGCACGGCAGAACCAGAGCCCAAGCAGGGCAGAATGTGGGCTGTCCCAAGGAATGCACGTGCCCAGGGCACTCAGGGTGTGCTGTGGCAGCTGCTGGGGATGCTGATGGGAAGCATCACTGAGCTCAGCACTGCAGCCCACACGTGGTCTTCGCATGTGTTGTAGAGACACAGTGAGCAGCAGGTGAATGCCAGCAATCAGGTACAACACACTGCTCTTCCCCAGTGTTTGCTGACCCTGATGGCTCCCAACCGTCACAAGTGGCTGCAACTCCACACATCAAGGGGCAGACAAAGGAAAATGAGGAATGCTGGCTATTAACGTTGTTCACTGTTCAGGTCTACCAACATGAAGGTTTCCTTATCTTGGGTTGAGGGGGGAAAGAAAACCTCTGAATTTACTTTCCCCAACTCTTTATCTATTTTACAGTAATAAGGGATTTATGGTGTGTAAATATCCACTGGCATTCAGTGTGGCATTAATGAGATTTGTACATTTTGGTCTCATCTTCCTTATCGGGCAGTCAGTGAACTACTCAGATCATGGGTCTTTAATGTTTCTTCATGCCTCCAATCCTTTAATCCAGATTCTGCCTAGTTGTCTTTTTATTCTTTTACTCTAGATGGTAGGAGGGGCATTATACAGTAGCACTCAACCTGAACAAAGTACCCTAAAGGGAGTCAAAGCTGTATATTGTACAGTGTAATTACAGAACAAATTCCTTCTCCTGATGTTCTACTGTTCTATTTCTGCCTTTCAGCCTCCAATTTGCATTCTAATTACTTCTTCTCATTGTGTAGCTGCTTTATGGAGCTATAATCTCTCCTTATTACCTTTTAGCCTCCAGGCTCAGCCCTCTGAATGACTCAGGAGCCAACACGTCCCTGCATTGGCTCCTCACAGCCAGCAACACATTCCCTGCCCTTTGACCAGTTGCAGTAGGGGCTCAGTGGATGTGCTGCATTCAGCTGGAAGAGATGAGCCCTTTGTATCAGACACAGGAAGACAAGCAGGACCCAAACACATCAGTTAGGGGGCATTTGACACCTATGGGCTCACTGGATCTCCAAATCCATCATGAAATATATCAAGAACACAGGCATACAAATGGTTACTATGCCAGCGTTTCCAGTATGGGGATCCTATGCCACCAGTTCTGCTAACCAGTAAGGTCTCTGCCTCCCCAGGTTGCAGAGATGTTGTGCTGATGCTGCTTCTTGAATTCGCCAATTTCCAAGTTCTAACAGACCACAAGACAACAAAACTGTGACCAGTAACTCCACAGTGTCGCCTTATTGCTGTTCTGCTTGAATTCAGTTTCCAGAAAGACACAGCCACCAAAGCTGGCTATAGCTCTCATGCCCTTTCACTTTGTTTTGCCCTCTCCCACAGTAGCAACCACCCAGTGGTACAGACACACAGAGCTGGAGAAAAGGCTGCTGCTTCCCCAGGAAGACGAGGCACGAGCACACGCTGCTCAGGGATGGCTGCTTCCCAGGGCACAGTATGGGCACAGCCTGGAGAAAGTGCTTCAGTGAGAGTGGAATGTTTGAGGGGAAGCAAACAAGCAGAACACTGTCTTACAACGAGACAGAGAAGGGAGGGAAAAATAAAATTTAATGGCAGTAACAATGAGCTGGAGAGAGGGGGTTACACTGGTGTAACTGTGTGGGACTCAGATCACAGACACCTGATCCCTATGAGACCCAGGTGAGCCACTGATCATCTGTAAGGAAGTGAGGGGGAAGAAGCTGCAGACAGCATCAGCTCAACATCTGGGACAGCTCCCAGCCTGCCAGTATTTTGCCCTTCTCACCCTCACACCTGAGCCTCAGCCCCTGCTCTGCAGCTCCTCGGTGTCACTTAGCACCATAATTCGGCAGGGACAAGAACAAGGAGGACAGCCAGGGCACAGGAGGCAAGCAGGAATCTCCACTGATGAAGGGCAAGAACAGACCCCAACACCACAGAGCAGCACCAGCCCTGAGCACAGCACTGCTGCTCAGCTGCACAACGCCTAGGTGCTGCACACCTATCAGTTCATCCTCTAAGTAACATCCAAAAAGCTCAGCTTCTGCTGTCTTACAACAAACCACCCTGAAAGCCTACCCACTGCATTGCAAAGATAATAAATAAAGTAGCTGCTGAACAACACACAGAGCCTGCACTACGATTTGCCAAGGGAACAGAACCTGAGGAACTGCACACAGGGAGAACTCCGGGAACACTGCCATTAAAATCAAGACTAAAACTAAAATACAACAAAATAAGAGCTTTGATTAAGATTGCTGGTACAGGATGGAATACAGGCTTTTCCTTGAGCAACCTATCCAACCCTGCCTTTGCTCAGGGCTTACCTGCAATGTGAGCACAAATGAAGCACTGAATGTGCACTGGGGAGCACAGGTCTGCCAGAGGTGAATTTCTCCGTAAACCTGCGTAACTCACTTCAATTTTCAATCAAGATAGAGAAAAAAGTCTGTGTATATAAAAAAATATCCTCTTTTCTATGTTTTTGAATATCCTGACTGCTGTCTGATACAGCTTTGGCTTTGAAATGCTAAAATCTTCTTTTATGTACTGAGACAGAAACAAAAAAGGTGGCTTAGAAATAAAGTAGCAGAATTACTACTCCTCAGAATTTTCTTTTGTAGAGAAGGAAATGAAAACAACTGCTGAAATGACAAACACTTCTGAGAGCACATCTCAGCCCTTTGCAGAACTCCAGGAGTAAGCAGAGAAAGGGACTCATGTGGGCCAAGGCTCTGCTGCCCTGAGAGCATTCTGCTTTGCCTGAACGAGAACTGCCCTATTTGTGGGAGGTTTCCTCTGCTATGGGAGCAGTGCATATAAAAGCAGCGCTCCCTGGGTATCTCTGGGCAAAGGGAAGAGCTTTGGGATGTGCTGGAATGGCAGAATTCCTCTCTTCCTAGGGAAGGGAGCAGACACACCTCACACTGCTGCAACTGCTGTTTCAGCCTTCCAGGATCTTTTTGTTGAAGGTGATGGGGCTTTGGAAACTGTGAGCATGGAAGCTCACATTCTATGATGCTATGAAGCTCCACTGCCACACAGCAGGGCCAACACCAGGCATCAGAGCAGAATGTCATTCTCTGCTTTCAGCGAGTCGAGGTGCCCAGCTTACCTGCATGGGACTGCATGTGCTCCAGGAGATTGTTATAAAACTGGAACTGGATTCCACAAGCTCCACAGGTGTAAGGCTCTGTTTGGGAAAAATCAGTTCAGAAGAATTACACAGAGTATGTGGGGAAGCAGCACCCGTGTGTACTTCAGTCTGTGCAGCAGTGGGACAGCCCGAGGTATCACTGCAGCCGTGTGTTTGCCACAGCAGCTCCATAGGGCTGGGGCATGGCCACAGGGCTCTCCAGGGCTGGGCAATGTGTGTTGGGTTGCACAAAGCCCTGAGAAGCTGTGCTCCAACTGGGCCTCACTAGCTCACACCTGCAGGAGCTCATCCTTGCTCTTTTTAAGCCTCAGAGCACAGTGAGTGCATTTTGCATCTGTTTTTGTGAAATACCAGGCTCTGCTGTCTTCCCTAAGTAAGGCAAGGAGCACTGGGATGTAAGAATCTTGTAGCTCAGGAAGTTGGGACACAGAGAATTGCCACCTGGGGATGTGGCTTCTTTTCTTTTTGGTGGCTGCTGAGAAGTGCAGGAGATTGGGGCACAGCGAGTGCTGGCAGGCTGCACAAAGATGGAGTGAGCGGAGCCGGGGGCAGGAAGAACAGAACCCAGAGCTGTGCAGGCAGAGCAGAGCAGAGCCGTGTTCCAGAGCTGTGGGCAGGAGCTGGAGCCAGGGGAGAGCTGGGGGCAGAGCTCCACCGTGTGCCGAGAGATACAGTTAGTTCTGTTCTAACAAGTGTGGGGAAAATGCATTTCTTCTGCTGAATTAACCTAGCAGCACATGTTTGCAGTTGCTTGGTTTGAACAGTAATTAGCTGAGTGCATTAGTTGACAAATGTAACACCAAACTATGGAGCTGAGATGTGTTAGCACTGAAGCCTGTTAGAAACCTCCGGATAAATGAGCACACTGCCACCACTCTATTTGGGAACAGGTGAGTGGACAAACGCAGCGTTCAGCACATGAGCATCCTCACATACAAAGCCTGGCACACACAGAGTCTATCACTACAATATACCATAAGCCTGTATCAACTTCTGAAAGGAAAAACATTTTTTATCAATGAAACAAAGAGCCAGAATACTGGAAAGCACAAGCCTGCTGGGCTCTGTCTGTGAGATGTCTATCTCAGGTAGCAGAACACTGAATTTATCCGATGGCAACATCTGAGAGTTGAGGGGGAAAACACAAAAGGAAGCACAATGCACTTATATGCTGTGATGTTCCACACTGCCATGCCTTTCCCCCAGAACACACAGCCCCCTGAAATGAAGGAACAGCCCCAGCTGCTGAGCTGTGCTCAATGCTTTATTTAACTTCTTGCATTTTCTGGTGCTGCTGCTGCTGGGTTTTGCTGCAGTGAGCCATACCTTCCTCCTTCAGAAACTGCTTTTGAAGAAAAAGGAGAAACGTGGCAGCTGAGTGGAACGCAGGACTACAACACACTGTATTCTTAGTGCATTCCAAAAGGTCTCTCGTTTTGATTCCTGGAAACACGCTTTTGATCTTATTTCCAAAAGCCTCCTCCTACAGAAACAGCCAGCTCTGGTAACAAAGCCACTGCCTGCTTTTGAAAACTCATTTACTGTTCTCAAAATGCAGAAACATTTTCTAAGACAAAGATTCACTGAAGTCCACAGTTTTCCAGAAAGAAATGTGATGTTAAAACAGGAGATAAAATATAAATTAATCACACAATTCATAAGTTCATCCCAGGATGGAGGAAGCCATGCTCAGGATTCACACAGTAATGAACCCAGGGCTTTCCTGATCCCTGCCCTTTTGAGACGTCAGCTTGTAACCCCCCTGCTCACAGCACAGGGAGCAATCAGAGCTGGCGGTGGGCTGTGCTGGTGCTGGAAGGTGGGGAGTAGAAAAGGACAGCCTGTGTCTGAAAGCAGGCAGAAACCATCGCTGGGAGAGAATTGCACATCTGGGAATGTACTCACAGCAAGTAAATTCTCCTTCCCTTTTTATTTCTGATTGCACTCAGAGCTGGAAAATTTGCCAAAACTGAACCCCGCTGATGCTCCTTTCCCCCTTCCAGGAGCAGAGCTCTTTCCCTGCCACCACAGGACTCCTGCCTTTCCCTTCCCTAGGCACAATTCCAGCTTCCCCCATCCCTGCTCACACTGAGGTTTCCAGCACCTGGCTGGGGTCTGTTCTCCACTGGTGCTCTAAGCTGAACAGGGGACCCACAGGTCCTCGTATGGGAGCAGTCCATGCCCAGTCTGCTCCCACAAGTGAATCTTTCCCTTCTCTCTCAGCTTGGTCAGTGGTGGTACAATGAAAGCTTTGACCCCTCTGTGCTGTTGCTTTAAGGCCCAGGGAACACCTATGCTCCCCAGCATGCTGGGTGGCCAAAACAGCCCTTGTGTATAAACAAAGCAGGAACAGCCATGTAGTTAGCTGAGAAAGGGCTCAGAGACCTCCAACCTGCAGCAGGACAGCCCAGGCAGCCCATACCACACTGCTGGGAACATCTCTGGTCTCCCTGAGCCTGGTTGCTTCTCAGGAACCAACTCCTGTTATTCTGTAGCTCAGGGGCCCAGGAGTCATGGTAGAAGCAACAGAAGCACCTTCTGATGAGAACCACAGCACAGCTGAGGATGGAAAGGAGACCTGTGGGGTCCATCTGGTCCAAACTCTCTGCTCAGGCAGGGCCAATGACAGAAAGCTGCGCAGGACCTCATTCAGGTGGCTTCTGAAGGTCTCCAAGAAGGGACTGCCTGGCTCCCAGCTGGGGCCATCTGGCTCTTAGCAGTGCTGGGCACTGTAAACTTCTGTGCTCCGTTCCCTTGGCGCGGGCTCTCCTCCCTCCAGCCTCCTCTGCTGGCACTGTCCGAGCAGCTGCTGGCACACACAGTGCCTGCTGGTCCTGCTGAGTGCTCAGCCAGCTCGGTGCCTGCAGCTCCAGCTCACACTGCTATCACAGCTCCCAGAGCCCCCCCCGAGGATGCAGGAGCTGGGTACAGGCAGAAAGTGCTGCTGAACATAAGGAAGACATGGGGATGGGTACTGCTACCCCCAGAGCATACTGCCCCACACCCTCATGTGCTGGAGCACTCACAGGTCTCCAAGATACCGACCGCCACCAGCGCATCCTGCAAAAACTTTGTACTGACCACTGAACCAAAAGTATCGTGCAACCCTCAACTCCTGGTGTGCAGCACAGCAATCTCACACACCTCCAGAAGGCCGAGGAGATGTGATGCCAGCCTGCTGGCATTCCCCTCCCCACCTCTGGATGAGGAGCTCCATCACGCTGGCACATCACACGGCACAGCCAGTGCAAATACCTTTGCAGAAATCCCAAAGCACCAGCAGCTGCTGAAGTCTCCTCAGCCTCTTTAGCTACATGGAATGGCCACTGCTGGCTGCTCAGCTTCAAACATCTCTCCAGGGCTATTATTAGATGTGCTTATTAGTGCTTTAAATATATATATCCAGTGAACAGGGGTCTGGAGCAACACAGTAGGCCCTGCAGGCCAACAGACAGCACCAGCAGTGTTTGTGCTCAGCTTCAACAAAGCACTCTGTTTCCCATGCTAACTCTCAATGCCACTTCTAAGCCAGGGAGAAAAGCAGAGCCACATCTTTGCATATACTGGTCACAAACTGAGGCAAATGGCAGTAATCTCCTATGGAAATGCCATTACACACAAGGACAGATGGGAAATTTTCAAAAGCAACTTCTGTCATCACCACCCACTTCTGATAATGAAAGAAGAGCTACATAAAGAGGTGCTACCAAGTATGCTCTAAGAAGGGGATCCCTGTATTGGTACTACTTTGACTTCTCTTCCAATATGAACTCTCATGTTCTCAATAAAACTCCCATTTCTTTCTCAGATTTGCAAATGGAGAAAGAAGTGTCCAGTGCCACTGTGGCCATGCCACCACACTCAGGGCTGTCCCACACCAAGAGACAGAGGCCCAGTGCTGTGGGGCTGGTGTGGACTCCTCAGCACACACACAAGCCAAAGGAAACACAACTAGATGGGTGATGTGATGGCAGCACTACCAGGAGTAGAAAATAATGTATGGCCAAAAGAGAGAAACCAAGCAGACATCACGTGGGATCCCATCACCACCAAAGAAACCTTCAGAAAAGATTCAGATTGTGAGTTTAAAGCTCATTTGCACTGAGTCTTTTTGCTACTTTCCATTAAACTGAACCTGCTAAGCTGGAGAGATACCCTTCCTCTCTATCACACTACTTCTGTTTGATCCCCTCATTGAACGTACCCTAAAAATCTTATTTAGGTATAGCAAGTTTAATATCAACAAATGCTGTCATTTTCCAGTAGGTTTTTATTTCTTTCAAAGGCTGTATTTTAAGCTATTGCACTAAAAAACTTCCCTTTCTCCTTTTTGCCTCATTTTTTTTTCATTTCTTCTTGATGCCACGTAGTTTCATTCACCCTTTCTTAGCTTAAAGGTGGTGTTATCACAAATTCTTTGTTTTATCATACAATTGTCTATAAAATCCAAGTCAGTGGTTTATAGCTGGACTGTGCTGTAAACACAAAATCATTGCCCTTGAGGCTTTCTGAAGTCAGACAAGAAGTGAGACAGCAGGGACCCAAAAGTCTGGGCCGTAACACACCCATGGTTACTCTGTGCCACTGCTGCAGCAGGCTGCACAGCTGCAGCCAAATGCTCTGCTGCTCTGCTGGGAGAGAGGAGAGAGGAAGGCAGCAGCCTTCCCTATTAAGCACAACACATATGTTCACCCTTTTCTGGGGCTTCTTCCATACCAGACTCAGGATGACAACCACTGGAATATTTCACAAAAGCTGGCCTTCAAATATTTCTTTTGCGTCTTGAGAATTTAGTACAGAAAAACCCTGCGTATGTCAAGACTCAGCAAAACGACACTCCACCAAGGAGTGTCTTCTTGAAAGCGACCTTGCACTGCCTTGGATGATGAACAGCACTGCAACAAGCCAGTTCCATCTTTCACAATTAGGCCACGCCATTGCTTCTGGACTTTGCTTAGTTCAGCAGTGAATAACAACAAACTCTTTGTGCCTGGAGACCGCTGCAAGGCTGCCGTGCTGCAGAGGTGGCCCAAGGAAACACATTTCAGCAGACAGCACTTTCAAAGCACTTCAGAACTCCCAGATTTCACCAAAAAACAAGAAACTGTACAGCCTCTTTCCGACTCTCCCTTGCAGGAGGTGGGCAGCAGCTGAACAGTCCTCTATCCGCTCTGTGGCTACACCGTGCCCGGATGGGAAAAGGTCCCCTTCTGTGTTGATGGACCCAAACACAGCCACAAAGCTTGGCTTTGCCAAGCAGATCTGGTCCTGCTGCTCTTTTATGGGCAGTAAGATGCCAGGTTTCTCACATAAGGATACCACATACCTGAATTCACTATGACAAGGAGTGGGACTGTGTCCAGGGAAGAGACATCTTCATTTCAACGCTTTCCATTTCAGCTGCCTTACTCCCACTTATAGCTTCCCACAGCACTGCTTCCAAGTCTATGTTAGGTAGTGTTAGCTGCTGACCCTGCTCTGCTTGTCCTCCCCCTCACTGCCTTTCTCTCCTACACGTGTGGTACTGCAGCTGGGATGGTGACACGGCATTTGGCTCAGTGACCACAGAAGACTCTGCTCGCCTTCTTTGGTAACACACCACAAAATTAACATCCACAACAAGCAAATGTTACAGAGAATCAAGCATTTAACAAGGCCAAACCATGCAGCTCTTGGGCTGCTCAACTGGGACATGGATTCACCTCCCAAACCTGGGGATTGTTCTTTGCAGCAGCAGAGCTGGTGATAAGCAGCAGATGGAAGGAGAGGGCAGGGTCCATCCTGTCATTCTCTGCACATTATCCCCAGCTGCTACCCTGCCTGTGTGAAATCTGCTGGCTGGAGCATAAGAGAAGACAAGCCAACATTGCCAGAGCTACTCCAACAGTTCCCATCATACACGTGAACACTGTGCCACATGGGGTTTGTTCCAGCCACTGAAACACAGCCATGGAAAGAAGCAAATGGGGACATAATGATATGGCAGCTCTTCAAAGTTACGGAGAGCTCTGCTTGGACACCCAAGCACATACATGTCCACAGAGCTTTTCACAGCCTCCATTCACCAGTGCATAGTATCCATGAGAACATTCAGATTAACTCCTGAGAACACGAAGAAATAAAAGAGAGGTGATGGTTTGGTGGAATAGCTGGAAAAGAGCACTGAATGAGACACAGAGGAAGGAGCACAAAGATGGAATCACAGGGAAAAGCAGGGCTAGGGAAGAGGATGTGGGAAAGACATAGGAAGGAGGAAAAGGGAAGATGTTTATACATCACCATGCACCAGTCTGCTTGTAGGAAGCACGTCAGCTATCTAAATCAGAAAAGAAGTGCTTCCAACCAGAGCTCAAATCCCCTCAAATCAGTCCTGAGCAGCTCCTTCACTGAGCCACTAAAATAAGCTGACCGTACCTGTGGTGCAGGCAGAAACAATTCTTACAGTGAAAGAAGATCAGCAAATCATATTAAATCAACCACACAACTTTTAAGAATTTCAAGTCTTTGTTGTTGTTTTTTTTTTTCACTATGAGCTTTAGGAGTTGTAGTAAACAGATTCAGAAGGATGAGCATGGTGTGAGCTGGTACAAGGAGATGGCGAGAAGAGTCTGTGAGATGTGTCATAGCAACAGTGGGTCAGTATTTGATGGCAGTTCAAGCAGAACTAAATTCTTCAACTATTCAGTGCAGCCATTCAGTAGTTTTGTGCGTACTTCTTGTCAGCAGTTCCTGGACCTCTTCCCATGCTATAGGTTCTTTTCTCCTCCTGAAAAACTTATCAAGTCTGCAGACAGCAGGTTTTACAATACACCCTTCTTGAATTTAGGTACAAGTTATTTGATAGGAAGGAAGATAATTCTTTCCTTCCTCCACAGTAACACAGACTCTACTTGACAGGAAAAAAACAAAGGCTGCTGTTTTCAGAGGGCCCCAGAGAACTGAGAAGCCCAAAAAGCACACTGGCTTTTAAAGATGTGCATGTAAAGGCTTTGAAACCCTCCAAACAAAGCACTCATACTGCCTACAGAAGACAAGGCACGGGGGAGCAGGCTTGCTGAGGCAAGTGGCCACTTTCAGAGCAGCAAGTCAGGCTGACAACTCCTGGCAGTCACTGAACTACATCTCCCTTCTGTCACATCTAACAGCCTGCTCTGGCTGACTGCACACAGACCAGGCCAGCCAAGCTCTCCTGACTGCTGCTTCCCAAGTGGGACAGGGCTGGAAAGTACAAGTACCTGAAACACAGAGGCAAGCTCACCTGATGGGTTCTGCTTACATCTCTTTTCTTTAGGTTTTTCTGTCCCCGAATGAACAGCTGTAATTGTGGTGAAGGCTTGGGTTAGTACAGGATGGTTCCCAAAACAACACACAATATTTTAGAAACACATTTTTTTTGCCCGTTCAATATCACCCACTCTGCTACTGTAAGAAGTCCAACATCCCTCCATTCCCTTTTTATGCAGTTGTAGAGCCCCCTCATTTGGTTCAGAACAGACATAAGCCCCCACAGACATGGTGCAACCCACTCCAGGGAGAAATCCCTTCCCTTACCTGTCCATTGCAGGCAGCAGCACTGTGAACACCACGTTTTGGTGCGCTTGCATGGGAAATGGAAAGAGGCCAGCCTTTTCTACTGGCATTTTATTTATCTCTGCATCAAGATGCTGAAATTATATTACTTCTGGTCTGTCTGTTAAGCTCCACTTAGGGAGTGTGTGGGAAAGGCAGTGTTCCACTTGAGGGCAAAGGGATACACAGACAGTATGAAAATCTTGTAAAGACTACAAATGGTGTTGTCTTAGAGATTGTCCAGGCCAGTGGTTATGTTTAGTTACCACTGCTTGGTCTTAAAATTCAAAGAAAGTTGTAGAAACGGGGTAAATTCTGCTCCCACATCTACACATCTCTTATACTGTGACCTCCATACAGCAAACTCACAAACAGCTGGACACAAATTACAGTGATGTGTAAATATAATGTCACAGTTAGCATCACTGTAACATGCAAACTGCTGTTCTACTGATGGTCCTCAGAGCTCTTGTTTGTTGCAAATGGATTTACTTCACAAATACTTCTCTGATACACAAAGAATGAACACTGCTTTATCTCCATCCACATTTCCCTTTTCTACCTCTTTGATCCCCACTGAAGAAACCATCCGGGTACTTTAGTACTTGAGAGCAGAATCCCCGTATCATCATGAACCTGGAGAGGAGCGACAAGAGGACGATACCCCAGGAAGGACAGCTGTTTGCAAGCTTAAAGTAGTTTCCCCATATATGATCATATATGATCACCAATCACAGCTGATTCCTGTTCTGGAGAGGGATGTGGGATGCTATGGCAGGAGGCAGAGAGCACACTTACCGCTGGAGTTCTGGGAGTTGCTGTTAGTTTCTTCAAAGTTGTTTTGCGCTTTGCCTTCCACTCTCCTGCTGAAAGCACTTTCTGCTGGGTGGAGAACAAAGCAGGGATGGTGACTGGTCAACACTGGACATAGGACTACACAGAAAGGAGGCACACAACATTCTCTCTGTGCCACATAACTGCATTCCCTGAATATAGCCAAAAAATCCAATACCATATTATTTTGGAAAAAAATGGGATAGATTCACTGAAGAGATAACAGATAGGATGGTTTCTTTTATTGCCTTCTGGTTGAGGCAGCCTGCAGTGGCTCTTAAGGAGCCTATGACACTAGTCCTGACTGAACCAGAAATGTCATGGCTTTCCTGCCTGCAGAAAAACCCCACTGTTATTCACCCTTCCTGAAGACAACATGTAGCCCTCAAAGCTTCTGGCAGAAGTGTCCAGACCTGCAGACGGAACTCTGGTCCTCACCAGGACTTTGAGAGTGTCACCTACTGAACCCCCATGCCAGCTCTCCCCATGCTTCCCAGTCATCAGCATTCCTTTGCTAAGCATCCTGAAATGTTGAAGATGGAAGGACCCACGGGCTGTCCCCGAGTCTGGAAAAGCTTTTGTGGATCCTCTGCCCTGCTGTGCCTCCCAGCAGTGACATCGCTGCCTCGCCCTGCTAAGGCCATGCAGGCAGGACCTGTTGTGGCACCCTGCTGACACATGAGGCTGGGCTGCTCCCAGTAACTGCAGGGATTCCTAGAGTGGGCAGGGGTGCAGTATCCTGAAATGTCACTGCATGGTTACATTTAGGGGTAGAGTTACCAGCCATTCCTCTCAGCCCAGTGTGCCTTAGCACAACTTCAATACAAGTAGCATGCAGTATTGCCTCATTTCAACTGGGTTTGCAGTATCTGGGAAAGCATCTCAAAGGATCAATCGGAAATCAGCAACATGAAAGGTGAATCTGCCAAACTAACGTGTGTGGCCTATGCTGCATAGACTCTTCTCATATGTCACCCAGTGGGTTCACCTGAATGTGGCTGAGCAAAGCCCTGCTGGGCAAACTGCACAGGGAGGGCACGTGGGAAAAGAAATATTTAATTCAAGGCTGATGGGGACTGCTGCAAATTGATTTTGGGTAACTGTGTTATTTGGTATTTCTGCAGACAGCTGGAGCAGTCAGCCCTGTGGTGCTATCCCTCACACTGAGACCCCCCCAGGCATCTCTGGGCTTCAGCAGGGCTCCCACACAGGGCCTTTCTGCCTGATGTGGCTACAAAAGATCTGAAAATGAAGCTTCCAGCCCATGAATTTTGGCTCCCGAATCTTTAATGGGCTTTTCCTGTGCTGAGCAGGCTCCTCAGACTATCTACCACATTCCTGACTCTTCCTAAAATGCAGAATAGGACAACTTGGTAATCCATTAAACAGAGCCACATTAAACAGGGCTGAGAAGGAACCAGAGACGTTATCTAGTCTGTCCCCTTTGACAGGTAAAAAACAGAAAGGAGAGGCCATATATAACCAGCAAACCAGATGGCACAGTGGGAGCACGAAACCATGACAAGATGGGACTTGGCCAACCCACCCCTAAAGAGACCTAGATTCAAATCCTGGCTTATGTCACAAGTGAAACTGAGGTGGAGGTTTCCAAAATTGTTTGTAAAAAATTTGCATGGTGATTTTGTCCTCATCCCCAACCCTTTTTTATTCTGCCACGTCTGGCTGTAAAAAAAAAACTGGTTTAATGCATCTTAGTGTATCCCCCCTGCGTAGAAGAGGGCAGCGGACGCAAGGTCTCTCTCTCCTCTCTGTACCTGAACTGCCTGCATGTGAAGCAAAACTCTCTGTAAAGGCAGAGTGCCAATCCACCAAGGGGCTGCAAATACTGTCAGTGGAGTGGTAGCCCACCATCCCTGGTACTACCCAGGCCCACATGGAGTGCCTCTAACTGCTGCACTTGGAAGGCATCCCTTCTGGAGACTGTCTTCCTGATAAGTGTAATGGTCAATGCATTTGTACCAGAAATCCAGCATGCTGCTCAGACTGCATGTGTACAAGAAGCTCCTTGAAAGACATCATGGAAAACACACCACCAGACAGATACGGTCGGAACCCAGGCAGGTATCTGTTTCTTGAAGATCAATGTACCAAACTCAAGCATTCTGAGATTCCTTCCCACATACAGGAAGAGAACAGTTCATTTTTTACCCAAGGTATTGATATACTTTTTGGTTAGAGAAGTGGGGAAAAAGATGTCTGCTTGTATAAATCACCTTTTAGTTATTACTTAGATAAATCTGGTCCCAGAGTAACACCCAGTTAGCCTCTTTCTGCTTCTGAAAGAGACACAAGACTGGAAGAAGTTATCACAACTTTACATAAAAATGAAAGTGGTTCTTCAGCTTGACCACCTGAATTGATTGAACTAGACAGACCTCAAACCAGGACTTGAATCAAATATATTCTTAAGAGATGCAGTAACAATATGGAAATTTGGGACCCACAAGCTGTAAGATGGGTCGCTCACTACAACATCTGGCAGCTGTGGATGTGTATGTCATCGAACAAAAACTACCTTGTACAGCATCTTGTGGCCTCTCTCATCTCTGCCTCCCTGCATCTGTCCATGCCAAACATTTCAGGGGTGTTTAAGGAGCTAATTAATCATCCCTTCTTCTGCACTAAGACAGAATGTGCATCAACCGACCCCACAGATGTGCCCAAGCAATTCCCTGCTGTCTGGACACGTGAATGCTATGTCTCGTATCCTATTTATTTTCTTTTTACATTTGATCTTGTTTGGAAGGATGGAATAGGGACTACAGGAGAATCTACTTCGAGTTTCCTGACACTTCTGCAATGGTTCCATCTCTGCTGGTGCCCAGCTTATCTCCCAGTGGTTCCTGTGGGGAGTGGAGCACTGAGAGAACACCTGTACTCCATCTCACTTGCTAAGGCACAGCCCTAACCCTGCAAATATCAGCTTGAAAGAAATGAAAACTAAAGCCAAATAAAGCTGGAAAAAAACCCCAAACAACCCAACAAATCCCCGTACCTGACAAGCTAATAAAGCCAATCCTTGTCAGAAAGCTCTCCTCTGTTTGTGACACCAGGATTTGAAACAGGGTTCTCTGCACCTTGTGGATAGTGTGATGCTTTAATAAACAAAAACTTGTCACTGGGTTATGAAGACCTATTGCTGACCTAAATTTTTACTTATATTGTGCTAAAGGATCTAAATCTCTCAGCTGCTTCTTGGAGTAACTTTTCAGGGACAGTCACTGATGGAGCAGATTGAGCCCAGGAAGGGTCAAAAGCCAACCCAGGGCAGGGCTGGACACTAAGCAGTTAAGAAAGTTGATGGTAGAAAGGCAATTGGTACCTGTGATGGCCTTGCTTCCTGGGGATCCAGAATTTGGAGCGCGGAACATCTGGGATTGGGATGTCGGTGGGACACCGGGAGGGGTGCGGTGCAGGAGGGTGGAACATCGGTTTATTGAAGTCGGTGTTTTTTTGCTGGATTGGCTCCCCTGTGTCTTCACTGCCACGAAGAGTGGAGATCGAGAGAACTCTGGATATGAACACTCAGAACTAGTGCGTGGACAGTCAGTCAGCTCCCAGCTCGTGTGCCTTCTGGGAGGGTTCTTTCTAACAGCCATGCTCACGAATCCCTTGCATGGGGACCTGCAGCATCTGTGGATTCACTGATCCCATGTAACAAAATTGTTTTCCCCACTCACCCGAGGGGACAATTCTTGAAGTTTAGTTAGTTCCCTTCCACACCTTTAACTGCTATATGACCAACCCATTCTTCCTCCAGTAGGAATCACCCCATCCACCTCTGAGTCCTATTTGACTTCCATGGCCTGGCTGGATGTACCTGCATCCTTGTGCTCCATTTCTTTGTCAGGAAGAGACTGAACCTCAACTGCAGGTTTCTCATGTGCCAGTCAGAGCTCTGCATGGGGAGAAGCTTACACCCTTCCTTTGTTCCTTGAGCCTTACACATATCCTAGAGATTCACAGCTACACTCCTTGTCTAACATAACACAAAGGAATGAATTACGAGGCAGAGTTCTCATCCTGCAAGTCAGTAAAGGCCTTTTTGGTCCCCATCTCCACACAAATGCTGGTAGCATATGGAGAAATCCCAAGTATTACTGGGACATGCTCTTCGAATTTATCTGACCTACAGTTTAGTCTCTGCAATACACAGTGAGGATCACCAGGGATTTTTAATGCCAGAAGTCACACAAAAAACCTTTGGGAGGACAGCCTGTTGTCTAGGCTCCAGGGGTTTAAAAAAATTACAAAATGGAGAAACAACCTAACAACTGCCTTCATTCCTCAGAGATTTCTTCCACTCAACTCTGAATATGGCTCCTGAAGCCAAGTGCCACTGCAACCATCTGCCAAGAAGCACTAAGGAACAGGATTCACATTACCCACAGCCAAAATTCATCAGCAGCAATTTCTATACTTGAGTCATAATTTGGGGTGCCTACAGCTGGACTGGATAACACCAGCATCTGCTAATCCTGTACTGTAACTCAGTAATTGAGCAGCTGTAAGCCATGCACTGCCACAGCAGCACAGCAGCCTGGGTAAGGAGAGAAGTCACAGCCATGGACTGCACACACTGCCAAGAACACATGAAACATTACAAATCTCACCTGTCCCTGCCAGTGGTCAGCAGCATGGCAGAGTGATGGTATCTATATTCAAAGCAACTTGCAAACAGCCAAAGGAAACATTTTTTTGCTTCATTTTATCTGTTACAGAGCTCCAAGATGGCATTCCCTGTGTGTGTTTTAGCGTACTTCAGCAGGAGAGTCTGCACTAGCTTTTCTCATAGTTTGGGTCAAGATACTTCTTCTCTGCTTGTTCTCTTGCCAGCTGAATAGGCAGGATGCTTGCTTTTGCTTTCTGGACTTCATTTCTTCTCCATTTACTGTCAAACTGCCAGCAAGTATGTAGTCAGGTATGAAAATCTCCTGCTTATGTGTTGCCTAGTTTCCAGCAAGACCAAGCCCCAGAAATTGTGGATTTATCTCCCAATTTATACCAACTGAGAGAAGAAGCAACCAGCCATGTATCCAGCATCAGGAACAAGCAGTCCTCAAAGATTCTCTGCAGTCCAGATACTGCGGGCATCTGGAGATCTAAAGGAAGAAGTCTGAACGATATGAAAGCCTCCAAAATGACTTCCTTCTCTTCCCATCTTCATCGAATAGGATGTGGTGGTTTGTATCAGGAATGAACAGACTGACAGCCTGGTAGCATCCATCAGCAATCCGTGATGCAGCAGGAGTCCTTTCACTCTCCAGCTGTACATTTCACATTCAGACCCTAGAGACAAGGCTACTCCATGTGACACATGGCAGAGACAGAGTTTGAATCAGCGAGCCAAGATAGAGAAAAGAATATTAGTACTAGCAGTTTGGAGGATGCTAATAACTCACTGGAAAAATGTTTTACTTTAGCTCACCAGATGACAAATTCCCTCTGAAGGCTAAGCAACATTTGCAGAGATGAGCACGTAGCTCTTCTGTTCTATTTTTGTTAAGAAGTCTTTGTTGTGGAACTCACTGCCTCAGGCTGATGAAAAAGCCAAGTTCAAGATATTTCCACAAATGAAAACACTGAATTGCTGAACGGTTACAAAAACCTCCTGCCTGACAATCTGCAGCAAGACTGGAGACAGCATTGTGGAGATCTTCTAATTGCTGCTAAAGAACTTGTTCAGCTTTCTCAGAAAGCATCTGAGATGCTTTCCTAGTTGAAGGTGACACAATGAAGAAAGAAAGGGCACCAGAGGAGATTCAGGTGTTTGTGAGTCTCTACCATGTCAAAACTTAGTGCAGCACTGGTTCTTTATCCTCTTTTCTTATCAGTGACCTTGAGTAACAGTCCAAACTTCATTAAAAGTTTTTAAGTGAGGTTAAGTCTCACTGGATGATCTCCAGTCACTTGGTAAACTGAGTGCACTGTGATACAGGTTGGAATTAAAGGATAGAGGATTTCTCCCTGGCAGCAGAAGAACAGAGCGTGGTGGTTGCAGTGCACGGTCATGCTGATTGTAGAGGAGCTCCCAGGGCAATGCTGTGGCTAAAATCACTAAGGAACCCTTTGGGTGTACCAACAGGGCACTCATAAAAAGGATCAGGAAGATAATGTTAACTTTTTGTTCCTTCCCTGGACCCCACACTGTGTGTGTCATTCACAGAAGTTGTTAACAGACTGGAGAACATTCAGATGAGAAGGCAGGAGGATAAATACAGGACAAGAATAACAAACCTTCCACTGGAAATCTTGAGGCACTCACCTGGCTTATCTGGTCTCCATGAAGTGACTTGATGGCAGGCTATACAAAGCTCTAACAATAACAGAAGTGTGGTAGCTTGGTTCTCCTTCACCTATCAGACAAAGCTATAAAAAGATCCACTGCCTGAAAGCTACAGCTGGATTATAAGCCATCAAAATAATTACCTTAACAGGTTGGTGTATTTTCTGTCCCTGTTAACAGCAAGACTGTCTTTCTCTCTAAAACACGTTCTCAAACAATTAAGTCAAAGCAAGTCACAGCATGCTTTATTCCAGTCAGTTCAGAGCTCAGTGGTCTCCGCTGGCTTTCCTGTCTTTGCTCAGAAGTTCAAGCTCTAAGAATAGCAAGCTGCAACAGTAAAGGAGAAAGTCTAGCAGACATTTCAACGTCTCCCTGTAAGAGACACAAATCCACATTGCCACAATGCACCACCATAACGGAACAGGTTATCAGTCTCTGAGCAGCTTCCCATACTGCAGGTAGAAGTTTTCACTAACAATTTGTGTACCGTATTTCTTCAGAAAGATCTTGCCCGGATAGATGGGAAATATGGCTAAAAATGTCATTCAGATGGTTTGGGTGATATTATACCACTGGTGCTGGAGAAAAATCTCTTTAAAGGATATGATGGAAAGGGATTCATTAGCAATGGCCTGAGATTCCATACAGTGGAAACCTCTGCTGTTGGAAACAGAACTTTCCACAGGAAAAAAACAGTCCTGAAATCTATCAGATTCTTCATGTGCTTCTTTATACAAACATTTTTGTAGTATAAGAAATTAAGGCACTTCAGGTTTAGAGAGTGGGAAAAAAATCTGAACTCTCAAGTTTCACTCAATGAAACGGAGGAAGGAAAGACAAACAACTGGAATCTACTTTTTATTTTCTTGGTCAAGCAGGACCTGAGGTGATACTAGACATACTATGACAAAGAACTGCTTTCCTTAAGACAAAAAGCCCTGATGGCATCTATCTTTAAGAAACACTGCAAGTATTTGAACATTTCTTGATGAACAAATTGTATCCAGTGCCCTTCACAATAAGAAAAGTAACTGAGTGGTCAGGCTTGATGAATTTCCATGAGCACCTCAGGCATCAGCATGCAGAACTCTGGCTGTCTCCTCAGAAGCCCAGTATGACCACAGGGCTGGCAAGGCAGTGGTCTCATAAGCCAGATTCCATCCCACAGCTCAGCTGGGCAGGCACAGAGATGGCAGCCAGGTCAGCCAGGAGTCTGGGTCATCAGGAAGGTTCTCGGTGATGAAGCACATCCGTGGTCAAGCTGACAGGTCAATTCACAGGTCAGAGGCAAGATTGGGTCTCACGAGGATCAGCAAGGTCAGACACAGCTCAGCAATCCTTAAGGAGGTCCAGGGCAATGGGACATGATTGAGGTAAAGCTAGGAAGTCAGGGTCTGATCAACAAGATCCACTGTCAGGCACAGGCACGTCTACAACCAAGCTGGAGACTGATATCCCATAGGGTAGCACAGGCAGAGAGGCTGACACAGCTGAGCTGACACTGGGGTTTGGTGTGTGAGTGGAGGCCTCATGTGAGGCTGCTCAGCACCATCAAGACTTATTAGCACACTGAGGACCTGCCATCACATCAGATTTTCATCCCAGAAGCAATGGCTGTGGATAGCTGTGCAGACATCACAGCGCTCACCATGCACTTCCACGACTGTGGAGTCTGTTGCCATACCTGCAGTTACCAGGAAATCCTGGACTTAGGAAGCTAAAACCTAACCTCAGAGGCTTTTCCAGCCTGTCCACATCCCTAACACACTAGGTTTTCTCTGCACTGTAAGCACAACATCTAAGAACATTTGCAGTAGCACAGTTACCTTCAAACGTGGCACAACAAACATGCCTCCAATCCTACAATTCTTTTTTTTTGAAACAGCATCTGACCCCCTTCCCAGACTGAACAGATCTGTTGGCCAGTAAAAACACTGTAAGTATCAATATTCTAAAAGAGTAACAACTCAGTTCTAGCTTTAGGAAAAAGCCCTATCTCCCCACTACCAAAAGGGGACTTTTGGCATTAGCAATTCCAGTGACCCCCACAGCAGAGTGCTTTGCCAGACAGCAGATATCGAGCAGCAATGACCAAAAATTATCCTGGAAGGCTCCATAGACTCTGCAGGATATAAGTCTTTGTTTTAGCCTCTTTTCAATAATTTTTAATCCATTATGACAGGAAAACAGAAAGACAGGCTCCGGAAGGGAAGTTTGCACTCCAGCAGAGAGACCCAAAAAGTTGGATTGGTGATACTGAAATGCATTCTTTATTCAATAAGGCTAATTTTCAGCATTTGCCATATAATCATGAGGGCACGGCCATGGTAAAGACAGAGTCTCAGCTTTACTTCCTGTGACTGCTGGGGGCTGAGAAAAGCCAGTTATGCACTGCATCAGAAACCAGGTGTTCACAGCTACCTCACAGGACCTTGATTTAAAAAAGAGCAAGGGGGGAGGTAGTAGGGGCCAGCCTGCCTGGGAGCTAAGCACACCCTCTCCTCTATGCTCATCAGGGTTAGTGGTTTGTCACTGTAAATCATAAATCTTACTGGTCATGGCAACTAAGAGAGGAAAAAACAAATGTAAAAAAAAGGGAAAAAGTTTATGAGGAGGATTTAAACCTTATGGTAGTATTATCCTGATCTGTTCTTAAGTGACCTCTTAGTAAAAGTTACTTGCTGTAAGGACTGGACATGTTCTGTGACTGTTCGTCTAATCTGAAGTAGAGACAAGCTTTTTCTTCTTTGCAAAGGTTACTACACAAACTACGGTCCAAGAATGGCTCCAACCTCAGCATTCAAAACAATGTGCCACCTCCTCCAATACTCGTGACAACTGGGAAAGCCATACCTTCCTGTTTGACAAATGCCTCCCCTACAGATGAGATCCTGGCACTTTAGGCCTCAGCTTTTCACTCAGCAGCTCTCCTAACACTTGGTTTTCTGACTTCACCCATGACTTAAAAGCAGCCAAATAACATACACTGAGCTCACAGCACAAGCCCTAAGCCTTATGTTGGGCAGATGACCCCATGACTGCACTCTGCACAGGAAAAAGTACCTCCATGGACCATTTGTATCTGCAGTCAGACCTGCACAGCCTGCTTCAGACAAATTCCTCTCAAAGAGGAATGGCTGTGTTCTTCTTTTATAGGATAGCCTGGGCTGGAACCAGCAGCTGCAGCCTATTATTACAGATGGCTGGGAGGAGGGAGAGAGATCCTCAGTGAGAGAAGCCCTTGAAATGGGCTGTACTGGGAAGATAATGATCTGTTCTTGTGGAATAAGAGATTCAATGTACACTGGTCACAGCACACTGCTCCTTAGCTATACAACCACCATGTTTCTTTGATTATCTGCACATGGGTGGATTAAAGACACCAAAGCTTTGGTGTCAGTCAGGCCATCTATTCTATGAGATTGAACTGCTGCTCTTCACCTCCAGCAGCTTTTCTGAGCACCTGATTACACCCAGGTTAAGACTGCTCTCTACCCTGGGAAGTGGAATTTGAGGGTGCAGGGATGTTTATGAATAACAATTACACATACAACATAAGCACTGGGTTATGGAAGTAAGCAAATCAACTGGTGGCAGAGGTTTTCTATGCCCCACATCTTCTACTATCGTGCTGGTCTACCTCCATACTCTGGAGAACCTACATGGGAGCTGTCAAGAGCCACCAAGCCTTGACAAACCTTCAAAGTAATGGTCTGGTGGATTATATTCCCAATTTATTTCTATGGTAGTCTAAAACTAAGGCTGCCTTATCACAATTACTTTAGTTGAATTACTTTCAACTGAAACTCATTTTGGTGAGGGAGGAGTGTGCGCTCCCTCTGCTGGCTGCAGATGAGCAGCTAACAAAATCGACTTAATCTAATGAGCTCAAGTTCATCCATCCCCATCATTAGCCAAAAAGCTGGCAGCCTGGCAAACACGGGTAAAAGAGCAACAATGCTGGCTCACAGCACATGAACTGCAACACAGCACAGGGCAATGCTATGAAAAAAGCATAAAGTTTAGGGGCAAAGAACTTCCCTGCATACTTTTAAAGCATCCTAAACCAGCATGTAGCAAGAGCTTCTCAACTATTTTTACTAGACTTATGCACTGAATTACACTGAATTGCTGATTACAACCTCCCCTCTGTCTGGGGAGTGCAGACTGCAGTGTCCCTGCACAGTGCAGATCGTAGTGTCGTGCACTATGCTGAGAACTGCCTTTTCCCAAGCTCCCTGAAATACATATTTTATTGCCTGTGATTTAGCAGCAAGCTGCCAAGGTAATTCACATGATTTTGAAAACCAGTTTGAGCTTGCTGTCTGCAGTAGTTTCTCAGAAGCTCCTAAGAAAAATGCTTCCCCACTAGGATGCGTGTTGATTATTTAGGGGAAGCTAGGAAAGTTCATGCATCTCTCGTAACGTACACTTTGGGCACTGGAGCTTTCAGTTAAGCAACAAAATAAAGTATCAAGCCCTAAGGAACACATGAAGAATGGCATGGGCTTTGGTAAAAGCTCAGTGACGTCAGACACCTAACACTAACAGGGTTCCTGTAGGAGATTCCAGCTCAGCTTTGCAATGCCCTGGTCAGCACATGATCTGCAGTCTGCCAGCTGCAACCCCACAGGGTCCAGTGAAGGGATCCACAAAAATGACACTCTCTCCTGGCAGCCCTCATCTTTATCACCAACCACTGTATATCATAGTCTGTAATGAAAGATTTCCAGCAGGATACTCACTAATAGGTGCATGCAGTGCCACGTGCTCTTGGTATGGAGTGTAGTATTTGTACTGCTTGCCACAGAATTCACAGGTATAATTGCCAGTTTCTGTGAAGATGAAATACATTAAAAAAAAATCAGAAAGGAGTGCAACCTCTCACAAAATCACTGACTTCTTGTCTCTTTACATAGAAACTAGGCCAGGTGACAAAAAGAAGAACACTACAGCATTTTTCTATTGCACTGGGAACTTAACTGCCCTATAATTGCCCTAAAACTCTTTTCCCAAAAAAGGCAGCAGTTAAAGCAAGTATCCAGTGATGGACCAACTCCAGCAGAACTGAACAAGGTACAAGAGATTGAAATTTCAGCAGGTAAGTGTGTAAAGCAAAGGAGAGAATCCATTTTTAAAGTCTACAGTACAGACAATTTTGTCTTCTATTTACAGATGGTATGTGATGCATGGACAACAGGGACAGTCAAATCAGGAAACAGAGTTGTCAAGTTCAAGTCTTAATTACAGAATGTTTATATTGGAATAGATTTCTCTTGCAATGAGTTTTTCTGTGCCAATCTGTGTTTTGGGGGTACTTGACAAAACGGAGCAGTGTAACCACATACAGATACCTTCTGTTCCTGCCAGTGCTGGGAAGTACAGAATTCATAGTGAGCTGCAAGCTGAAGCAAAACCCAGGGTTCATCAACTGTTTCCAAAACGGAGATGAATTTAGAGGACATAATTTGGTCCCTTTTTTATTTCTCTTGGATGTGTTTGATGAGCCAGAGGCAGTGTGCATGCAAACACTGCCAACTCTGCCAATACACCTGAGGACCCTCTTTAATCACTACCACTTTGCTCTTTTTTTAAACTTCCTCCCTCTTCTCTTAGCAGAGTTCTTGAACACAAAACATCACACTTCTCAGGGCCAGGGCTGGTGATGGCTGATGTTCACTTGAACCTAAAGGTATCTTTCACCATCCCTGAGGCCCCAACATCTTTGCTAATGCCAGATTTGAAACACTTGTGCTTCCTCTTTCAGGTGTGAAGCTCTAAAATATCTCATACTTGGACCAATCTTCTGGAACGGTTCTGGCTCCTCCTCCTTCACTTCTTCTGCTGCTATGACAGCCTGGTCATAGGGGTCTGCAAGAGAACAGAACCAGAAAGAGAGCTGACAACACCCTCAGATTATCCTTCTATAGCTGCAAAGGCACTCAATGCTCCTGCATCTGTAATGATATTTTGATCTGTAACAAGATTTCAAAACATGAATTACAAACCCAATGACCCCTCTGTCTGACTTGTCCTTCCTTCACCTCAGGTGCCCCAGGCAGATAACAAACCCCTTCCAGCCCAGTAACCTGACTTACAGATAAATAATGCGTTGGATTTTGCTTGAAGAAACACTGAACAAACAGAGGCTGAGTTACCTTTTCTGATTTTCTTCCAGTGCATCCCCCACCTAATGATGTTTTAATGTCTGAAAGTGGGCACAGTAATGCAGAATGCCAGCAAGTCAGCTACCAGATACTGACCAGTGACTTTCACAGCTCAAAGCAAATCAGAACCCAACCCACTTTATAAAATAACTTAATTTATGCCTTGAATGAGTCATTAAATCACCTGAGACATGGAATACCTGTTTCTTTGATTTTTCAGAAGCCTGATCAATTGTATTTATAACAAAAGCCTGGGATCTACTAGGGCTGGGCATTAACCTATGGGGTGTACATGCCAGGGAGGAACAGAGGATGCTTTTCTCCCACTGCAATCAGTGACAAAACTCCCTGGGCTCTTACAAGTGTAGAGTCAGACCTGCTGTGCTTGAACTACTGAATGCTTGAAAAGGTTTGTGAAATAAAGCACACGAAGGATCTCAGCTTACCTGCCCGGTTTTCTGGGGCCCCTTCCACACTAAAAACTAACACAGAATAGAAAAAGGAGGGGAAGAAACAAAAGAGAAATTAAATCCTCTGAAATGGCCGTGTTTTCCTCCTGTACTTCACGCACTGCTTCAGCATGTTTCAGCCCCACTGAATACACCAGGCTCTGTGCCCCAGTCCCTCTTCTTCCCATCAGCATCCACACAGGAAACTATTTGAGCATGCCCAGCCCTAAAATACAAAGATTCTTATGGCCTTTGTTCTGACATGGACACAGCCTGATGGGAAGTTCAGATGCACTCCAGCTTCATGCTTGTGTTTGCTGACACACATCTGGTCCCTTGGTGGAGCCATGATGGACACTGGCTTTGCAAGAAACAAATGGAAACTATGTCCAAAGCCCTCTCCTAAGCCTAGCAAGAGCTCCCTGAGCCACAGCTATGCAGGTATTTCTGACAGGAGCAGACACATCTGTCTCACAGCAACTTTTAGCCCAACACATTTAATTCTGGTAAGTATGTGGCAGTGGTACTGCAAGAGAGCACTTGCTGCTCTTTGAACACATTTAGGCAGGAAACCTTTTTGGATAGCACTTATTGTAAAAAAAAACACTTGTTTTTTTGAGATGTTCCAGCTAACAGACACCTCCTGCCAAGCCTCCCTCCCTCCTCTGCCAGGTGAGGAGCAGCATCAACAGGCTGCCAGCACATGTAATGAGGGTTTGCAGCAGCTGTGGGCTCATCAAGGGGTTTTAAATGCCCTGCAAGCACAGGCAGGCAAATGAAAGACAGTATGTTGCTGTTTCTATTCCATCCAGTACAGAAAAACGAAACAAAGTGCTTCTGGAGGAGGGCGTCTGCTTCTGTTGGGGTGTCACTGCCTTGACCACATCTAAATCTGCATAGGAAGAACTAGGCTGAACAGCATCAGGTCACTACCACAGTAATTAACAAGAATGAAATACTATTTCTCAACTCTGAAACATTGGTTGCCACAGAGGAGCATGTCAGGAACAAACCTGTGAAGTAAGAAGCCAAAAGGCAACCAACTCTTGCCTAGCCAGCAGCCAAACTGACCTTGGGGTGCTCAGCAATAAGATACCCATCTTAATCATAAACAGAAACACAGACAGGGGACTGCAAGGACCACATGTCCCAGCAGAGGGTGTTGTTTTGATGCACGCAGAGAAAGGAGCCCAGCAGCCTTCTCCCTGCAGAGCATGAGGACTGTGCCTCCCCTGACAAAGGCAAGCGAGGGATGCTGCTGCACATCCACACATCAGGGCTGCGAGGTCCTGCAGGACCACATCTGGCCTTCATCAATGGCACTGATGTATGATTCTAGCTTAGGTATCTAAGCATTAACACAGTACTCACCATCCACAGCATGCAGGTCTCTGTGCTCTTGGAAGCAGCTATAATATTTATATTTTTTCCCGCAAATGTCACACGTGTACCTAAAGTTGTCTGCAGGAAGAAGAAAAAAGGCCACTTTAGAAACCTTCAAGTAAAAAGCAAGTGCTGCAGACAACACTGCTCAGTCACACACCCCACACTGTTACATCCATCCCACGTGCCCTGTGGAATTCCTCAGGCAGGCAGACAGCCGCTGCTTCACACTGACCCTGGTGAGCACCACACTCACATTCTGCATTTCTGTTTCACAGTCAGGCAGCTCTGCTCTCCAGGGAAGCCCCACAGGATCTCACAGCAGGCCCTGCTGAAATCTCCTTTAGAAGCACTGGGTCACGTTACAGACAAGATGGGATGAACTGGCAGAACTGAACTCAAAGCCCTGGTACGTGCTGTTAGAAGTCAAAGTCAGAACATGCCACCTAAAGGCAGGGACTGGCTGTGTGCCTGCTCCTACCCTGTATGTGCACGCTGGAACAAACACAAGAGAGAGTTGCAATTCAAAGTACCATGGGCAGCAATCTGCTCTACGATGGGACCAAGTGAGCCTGGTTCTGTGTCTGTACCTACATCCTCTTTGTTCACCCCAGCAACAGCTCCCTTCCCCTTCATCACAGTTACCCACTGCTATGTGGTGTCTGCTCCCTCACATCAGCCCCTTCCCACATCCCCACCCTGCTGCAGCCCTATGCTGCCCGGTGTCTCTGTGTGCACTCACACAGGTGGGCTGGTTCCATCCCTGCACAAACCCTGTCCTTGTCACAGATCAGACTAAGACCTGAAAACATCTTCAAAAGGGGAGTTCTGTTCTCCTTGCCACTACAGCTCTGAGGAGCAACGCAGCAAGATTTGCAGCAGGCTGTGGTGCCTCTGAGTTGGGACAGCGACCTTCTGCAGGACCCCTGGAAACACTGGGGAGAGTTGGCACAGCTCTGATTCCATGGGGAACAAAGTGCTGAGCAGAGCTGTTCCAACCCTAACACGTGCTCAGCCCTCTGTCAGAGCCCCTGGGCCAGGCCACATCAAGCTGGGGAGAAGAAGCCAGGCACACAAAGATCTCAGGATGCTTATGGATCTGTTCTGCTCTGACTGGACAGTGAAAGTCTCTGGTCCAGACACTGTGCCTATGTAAGAAGAAAATCAGAGCAGAGGTGTCATACCCCGAGAATATCTTCGATGGTTTGATGAGGTTCTTCCACCTCCTGCTATCAGCCTCATGCCCTCACCCCCAGGCAGCCACTCTGTGCCATCTGCAGCGCTGTCTCCACAGTGGCCACAGCAGCTGACAGCCCTGACAGCTGGCCTGTTAGGAGCAGAGCACATCAGCCTGGGCAGCTACAAAGCATCCTAAAACTAATGGGCTGCACCTGACAGCAGGAGCCAGCTGGGGCTGTGCACATTCATTGCTGCAGCTGCGCAGCCCCACTGTCTGCACTCATGTGCACATCAGAGAACCAAAGCGTTGTTTGCTCTTATCTGCTCCACGCTGCATTCAAATGCACTGGAGTATGCACATTGCCATCTTTTATTTTACTTGTCCATCGTTTATCTACATCAGAGATATAAATTTAAAGCTCACATGCATTGATGCAGTCTCATGGACTTGGTTTCATGGTCCAACTTGGGGTTGCAGCACTACATGAAGTTTCACTTCCCACTCTTTACTTCACTTGGCAGAATGGAAGTAGAGCTACAGCAATGCATGGGAGAACAACGCCAAATATGCCAGGTGTTCAACAGCCGGGCACTGGAACTTTGCTTCTGCTACCAGAAAATATTTTTATCTTAATTAGAGCAGAGCAATGCAAGCCAGGCAGGATTTTTTAAAGTCCAGGATGAAAAAGTGAGACAGAGTTCAGATGCACAGAGCAAGATGCAAAGGATCCACTGCTGCAGGAGGATGGAGAGAAGCAAAACAACAGTGTCCAAGTGACAGAAGCACAGGGAGTCACTGCAAAGATGCATCTAATTACAGCTCATCAGTAATCTCACACAATCTCCTTCTGTGGCCATACAATTGTGCAGAGGGTCTTAATCTACTCAGGGCCCTACGTGACAACAAAGGGAATCCAATGATTCCTAGTGACTACCTGTGTACCCGCTGTGAAACTATACAGTCAATTATGAGCAGAGAAAATTCATAACGAGTCATCAGTAATCAGTCCCACATCACTGGGTTCCCAAAGACAAGAGGCCAACCTCCTTCTTGAAGACTAATGAGCCATGCAGCAGATAACTGAACTCTAATTCTTCAGAGGAGTACCTGATGTCGAGCACTTTCAATATCTCTGTTTGGAGGAAGAAAACTGCTACAGCCTTAGCTTGGAAGCGAAGTGCTCAATAATAACACTCGGTAGAAGAAAAGGAAAGGAAAGGCTGGGGTAGCAGCTCACAGGTCCAACAGGCAAAGCAAAGCACAGCTCCTGTAACTCGGGATGGCACTGCCAGGGCTGGGCCTGACTGGGTGACCATGTCCTTCCCTGGGCAGCGTGGGGAAATGAAAGCACACACCAGGTGCAGACAGGAGGACAGGGTTTGGTTTGCTCTGTTAGGGGACTGCTTTCCCTAAGGAAGAACAACCTTCATTACGAGAAGTGAGAATTTGTTCCAGCTGGTATTGGTACTAAGCTGTTTCTCTCTGTGTCACGGAGATAACACTCAGCAAGCAGTGCCAAGTCGCAGATACGAGGAGCAACGTGGAGAACACAGCAGCAGGCTGCTGGTGTAGAGTGCAGCTTTCCCCTCTCTGAGCAGCAGTTACTCTTGCAGGGCTGCTCCGCAGTTCCAAGCTGTACCCAATAGAGCTGTCATTGCTGGCAGCTCAAAGACACCTCCTGTGCTCCTTGCAGGCACAGCAGCTTGCTTAGCAAGCTCAGTGAGCACAACCAGCCTGCATGTGCTGCTGGACAGCTTCTAGCTGATACCACATACCTGCACCAGGCAGGGGAGGATCCAGCCTGGGTGCCATACCTCCTATACACAGCAAGCACAGCTGTCAGTGGGAAGAGCTACAAGGGACTCTTGCAGGTTCACTGCCTTTGCTTATGGATGATTTTGTTTATTACTGTTTAGGTTGACAGTCCAGCATTCCTGCTGCAAGCTGAGCAAACAACACATTACACTGCTACAAACCTAGTTTCAAAATGTTTAAAAGATACCCAGTTAAAAAACAAAACAAACAAACAAAAAAACCCACAAAAAACCACAAGAAACTCCAGCAAATACAATTCCTCCTTCCTGCTCATGAGTCTTTCAGAAGGGAGCAGGATTCAGGAGGAGCTGCAGCATGACAGCCCTACACCCGCAGTCAGCCCACAGCTGCTGCCATGGAACGCACGCAACGAAGGACAGCATCACCTCCACAAAAAGGGCCCCGTCACAGAGCAGCTCCTCAGATGTGAAGGGCTGGCATATGAGCACGGCAAACGGGCTTTGCAAGCACCCCAGCTCTGGGATCAGAAGGCACTTTCAAGCACTCTGCTTGCAGAACAAGCCAGGGAACGCGCTGCTCTCCGCCTGCCTGCAGGGCTGCTGCTGGCAGTGCTGTCGTGCAGTCTGTGCTCAGCAGTGACTCGTGGCTCCTGAAACACCGCCCCAGGGAGCAGCAGCCAGGCCATCTTTCTTCCCAGACACAGCATTGAACAGTTTGAGATCTTTTAGCTGTTTTGCTTCAGATATCCAGCAGAGAAAAAAACACATATTTCATTTTGACAGGAAAGAGGGTGGGCAGAGAGCACGTGCCCAGCAGTGGCAGGCAAAAGAAGAGACTTTGTTCCTCAGGGCACTTGGCCCAGGACCTCTGGATTCTGCTGCTGTAGAAATCCAGAAGGGAACAATAGCAATCAGACTTGTTGAAAGGTCAGGATTTCTGTATCGCAAGCTAAAAATACTGATCAATTAAATCGCCTGCAGTGCAGGAATCCGAGACCACACAAAGTGCACAAACTCAAATTACCACTGGGCTGTGAGCCCTGCACAGCACCACAGAAACCCAAACTGGAAAGTTACACAGATCATGCAGATGACAGCCCTGCAAGCATGAGCTCACGCTGACCGCTGAGCGCCATGAATGGGATCCCGGCACAGCAGGCTGTGGGACTGCCCAAGGACCTCCCCACAGGCAGCAATAAGCTTTGCCTGCCCCAGAATCACGTTCACCTTTGGCATGGAAGAAGCCACAGAAGCGACCTGCCAGGGGAGCTCTCACAGCAAACCAGGCACTTTGCAGATACTTGTCAGACTTAAGTGATTCCACCCTTAGAGAGCACAGCACACACAGCTGTGCGTTTGGGACAGCCTCCAAATGTGGAAATGCAAAACCGGTGAATAGAAGTTGTAACAGCCTGCTGAACTGCTGCTGAAATCCAGCAGTGCTCCAAGCTCCTGGGGTGCAAAAAAGCAGCAGAGTGTATAAGGAAAAAAGGGCAATCTGCACAGCACCACAGCATTACACACCCTGCTCCACGATCACATGGCACCTTTCCAGCAAGAGGTTTGGGAATGATGAGGGAAGCACTAATCCCCAGAAATCCCTCACTCCTGGCTCACCCCAGGAACACCAAGGCTGCCCAAGCGCTTCATAAAGCCCAGCAACATCCCTGCCAGGGGAGGCAGCTGGATTTCTTACGGCTAAGCCTGCTGCAATGGGTTGAGCTGCCATCTCTACGAGGTTGTGATGCTGCTTTCAGAGTGAGGTCTCTATGACAACGAAGTGACAGCACTGCCCTCCAGCCAAGGCCTGTGGGTTGTGGTCAGTCTGTGAGACACTGCTGCTTGGTTTCACATCCCTGGAAAGCTGCAGGCAGTTGCTGGAGTGCTGCAGTGTCCTGCTGGTGGCGAATGAAGCGGGCTGGTGAGAGGGCTGTGTAGGACACGCCTGAGCACCATCTTTCCTGGGATGTCTGCTGCACTAACAGGAACAACAACCAACTCTCCACTGAGATCCAAAGCCACCATGACTAAGCCACCTGATGCAAACAAAGCAACAGGAAAGAGAGGCATTTTCTGAGGTATGTTCTGCGTGTCCACCACTGGAGAACACCTTTCTGAGCTGC